ATATATATATATGCATTTGGTACAGGGTGTGTAGGGTCTACAGTGTCTCACTATGTAGATTGGGGTTGTAGTGATTCTCCTGTTTTCAGCCTCCCAAATGCTGGGATTACAGGTACACACCATCATGCCTACCCAGTCTTAATCTGTTTTAGCACACCCCAGGGACGGGGCCGGCACGGCACAATGGGGATGGTTCTGTATCTTGGCTATTGTGAATTATACCACAAGCATAGGTAGGCAAGAATCCCTATATTGTTTAATTTCTTTGTGTATATATCAAAGAGTTAGCTGGGTTATATGATAGTTCTATTTTTAGTTTTTTTAGGTATCTACTGAATTCCATAGTGGTACACTAATTTATATTCCTACCAACAGTGCAGAAACTTTCCTTTGCATTCTCACCAGTATTTACTTTTTTTTTTTTTTTTTTTTTGGGTTGGGTTTTTTGCTGTTTTTGTCTTTTTGAGTAGAGTCTTGCTATGCAGCTCAAACTGGCCTTGAAATCACTTTGTAGCCCAGGCTGTTTTTTATTTATTTATTTATTTTTAATGTATTTAGTGCAGGGTCTACAGGGTCTCACTATGTAGATCAGACTCATAGTGATTCTCCTGTTTTCAGCCTCCCAAAAGCTGTGATTATAGGTGCTCCTGCCACCATGCCCAATCTCAGTCGCCACTCAGCACGCCCTGGGGGCGGGGCCAGGACAGCACACCAGGAATTGAACTGGACACTGCGCTCTGCCTAAGCAGAAGCTGTAGTTCCCTTGAGCTATCAGGCCGGCCCTTGCAGAAAATATTTTTTTTTTTTTTAAAAATTTATTTGTTTATTTAGTGTGTGTGTGGCCAGCTCAGCCCACCAGGGGGCAGGCCTGGCTAGCACGTGGTGCTGGGGATTGAACCGTGGTCCCTGTGTTTTGTTTAGCTTAGCTTGTTCTAAGTAGGTGCTTTAGACCACTGAGCCATCTCACCAGCCCCAGAAAATATTTTTGAGGAAAAGATTTTTATGTGTTTAATGAACTTTAAGTTCCAAGATCTTCTGAGCCTTCCAACATTGCCAGTCATGTGGATAACCCACTACTATTATAGACTACTGGACTGTATTGGATTATTACTTTGCTGAATTCATGTACCTACAATATATGAATGGCAATGACACCTCTGACAAAAGTAAACAAAAAAGGGGGATATAAATGAAAGTCTATTTGGTAGTGAAAAAAATATATATATATCTGTATATACAAAATAGTTAGCATAGATATACAGCTACTTTCTCTTAGTTCAATGAGAAGAAAGTTTTAATAGTGTTTAGACAAGATATCATGTCTGCATCTTGTACTATGTATAACTACTACAAAGACAACAATATGCAATGTATTAATTATTGCAACTGTCCTACTAACCTGTTTTGAAACTGTCTCATTGCTATTTCTTTCTCAGTAAAATTAATAGAATTAAAAATAAAATAAAATAAAAATAAATAATAAATTTCTCAGGCTAGGCTCAAACTTGTGATCCTCCTCAGCCTTCCAGCATGCTAGGGTTACAGGTTGTACTCCGCCTGGTTTCCCACTGCTTTTATGGAAAAAATACATTTAGTACATTTAAATACATTTTAGTGCTCTGTCCCACCATTTTTGCTGATATTACTCCTAGCTAATTTAATGACCTTGGTCTTTAGTTGTGCTTTCTGGTAATCTGCACCTTAGAGGGGAAACTGAGAGATACATTAGAGCACATCAAGACAGTAATGGATCCTGACCCAGACTCCTGAAATGGAGAACGCATCTTTGTAAGCCACTGCTATGTGATTTAGGAGCCTTTTCATCTACCCTTAACCCCCAACCCTCATGTATACACTAAATCTTTGATCCCCATTCCTTTAGCCCAGCTCCTAGTATCTTGAATCTCTTCTCTAGTTCCTGGATAATCTTACAGGCAAATTTTGTTTTCTAGAAACTCCCTCGCCAGCTTCAGCCCACAACTTATCTTATAGGTGAGTAACGTTACACTTCCTCTCAGGGGATCTGTTCACATTGACATTCTGCCGGCAGCCCTGGGGTTACTTCTAGGCATTACCACTAAAGTTTATAATATGCTTTACAAATAAAAGAGCTGGGGCTGGGGGATGGCTCAGTGGAATAAGAGCTCCCCTGGCAAGCGCAAGGGCCTGAGTTCAATCCCCGGTTCCACCCAATAAATAAATAAATAAATAAATAAATAAATAAATAAATAAAAATAAAAGAGCAGGTTGAATAGCATAGTGTTAATATACATCTGAATTATTTAATTTTGTTTTTACAAGGGATTTTTTTTTCTTCTCTGACCTAAATGTTTGGGCTCTTCTTTTACATATGTATTTTACTTTTATGTTTCCTTTTCTGTGCTTATGTTTTTATTTCTTCTCCTCAGAACTTCAACTGCCTCTTCTGGGCAGGGAACTTTTTGTTTGAGACCATTTCTAAATGGGGAGTCAGGACACACAAGAGTCCTTACCCCTAACAATCCCGGTAAGTTAACATTCCCAAGGGAGTGAAGTTTTAACAACTGACACAAACCAAAATGAAGATTTCCAAGCTGACAAGAAGTTGACATTTGCCCCTTAAAGAGCATTGTTCCCAGCTTGGTTCCTTAATTTTTTGTTTTAATTAATTATCCTGTTTCCTTACAGTGGAGAGATTTTGCCTGTATGACACTCATCATGTTACCGGTTGAATTTTACTATTGAGCCAGTTTGACCTATAGATTTAGAATGAAGTAGGTGTTTTGTTTTTTGAGATCCCTATGTTGAACATCCTTATTTTGAACATGCTGGGAGTTCAATTCTGAGGATCATAAAATAAATATCCTTTTTTCTCTCTTTTTTTTTTTTTTTTTTGGTTTATTTTGTTTTGTTTTTTGGCAGAACTGGGGATTGAACTCAGGCCCTTATGCTTGCCAGGCTCTCCATCTTTTAAAATAAGAGTACCTCTGCTACCAGCCCTCTTGTTAAGGGGCTGCCATCTTTTATAGCTTATCTAAATATATTGCCTGTCTTTCCAGTCATAGCTAAGCTGAAATGTCAGACTGCTTTGTTGGCATCCCATCCTCTCAGGAAATAATGGACTTTATAATCTACCTCTGATGTTGCTTACCTAATAGTATTTTCCTTTTTGAGTAGTGTTCCTTTGTTTTAGGAACTACCTAATGACTCTGGCCACAGTAGCACTGCCGAGCAACCACCCAAATTGTCCCTCACCATTTTCTTCTGTCATCAGGTCACCGGGAGAACAGAACCCCTCTAGAGAGTTTTTCTGGCTTCCAACTACCAGTCATGCAGGTAAAGGCCTGGCTGGTCTAACATGGCTTCGCCAGCACGCTAAAGGCTTTCTGGTTTTGTTAAAGTTATAGAATGTAAACAGAGCAAAGTGACATGGGTTCCAGATGGTGTAAATTATTTTTTTCCATAATGGTCTTTTTTTTGTTTTGTTTTGGGACAGTCTTGCTATTTAGTTCAGGCTGGCCTTGAACATGGCAATAATCCTGCCTTAGCATCCTATGTGCTGAGTACCACCATGTCTGGTTCTTAGTCTTATTTTCTAAGATTCTGTTCTCTCAGATTAGCTTCTTGGTTTGAGATTTTTACTGTAATTTTTTTTAAGTGCTCTACCACTGAGTTACATTTTCAGCCCCTTTTTGAGACATGGTCTCACTAAATTGCCTAGATTGGCCTTGAACTTGTGATCTTCCTGACCCAGTCTAACTAGCTTAAGATTACAGGTTTGTAGCTTAGAAGATACTTGTTTTTTGAAACAGGTCCTTGCTATGTGGCTCAGACTAGCATTGAACTCACCATGTAACCAAGAATGGCCATGTTATATGGTACTCACAGCAATCCTCCCCTCTGTCTCCCAATTTCTGGAATTGCAGGTGTGCACCACCATACTCTGCTTGGAGTTTTTTTATTTTTATTTTTTGCAGTACCGGGGATTGAACTCAGGATCTTGTGCTTGCCAGGCAAGCGCTTATTTTACTGAGCTGTCTCCCTGGCTTGGAGTTGTTAAAAGTCAAATAGTAATGAGAGATATCAATCAAGTGGGTTTAACTAGTGACAGAAAGGCAGTGCCCAGTAGTTCCACAACGAAGTATTTTCAGTGGACTGTTATCTTTTGGGTGAAGGTACTACTTGAACTAAGAAAAACTGTAGTTCTCCAAAGCTTGGGGGAATAATGCTTTGTACATTTATGGGTGTATAGTTCTTATCCAGGCAAAAAAAGAAAAGGACATGGCAATGGGAAAAAGTTTGTGAGCTGGGGAGATAGCTCAGTAGAGTAAGTGCTTGCCTAGCAAGCATAAGGTCCTGAGTTCAACCCCTGGTACCACAAAAAAAAAAAAAAAAAAAAAAAAAAAAAA